GGTGCGATGCTCTACCAACTGAGCTATGAAGCCACACATTGGGAGCGAGGTCAATTAATTGACTGCGATGATCATTCTTCACTTTCAATGTATGTAATATAGCATAATTTTTCCTTGTTAGTAACTCAATAATTTTATGCAACATTTTGTAATGTAGGTAATACTGTACATGTCGTATGTAGTAATTAGTAATGTTTGTACTTAAGTAATTTGGAGTATACTCTATGTACTTAATGTAAAATAACATTTTGTAAGTGATCATTGTAAACTAGTAATGTAACAAATTATCAGTTGATTTTAGTACTGTGTTGTAAATTGAAAGCTTTTTAATGCAAGTATTCTGTAATTGTAATGTATTATATGCAGTGTAAATAGAAAAATGAAAAATAAAAAAAAAACATATTGACTTATAACTTATCTCTGTGCACCTTCATAGCAGCTGGACATGTTAGTACAATCCCTCACAACTGCTCTGGTTCCATTGCATTTCATTCCACCATGTGCTGGCTCTGGATTAGCACATTCTCTGATCCTTGTTTGTATGCCACTGACTGTCTTAGTACAGAGACTCCATTGGCTCCATTGGCTCCAGCCACCATCAACTTACAAAAAGGAGATCAAAACAGTTAATTTTACAATACATGCACATATAGCTACATTTGATACACTGACAGTATCAATATCAAAGTCGTACTTTTCCTCTTTTTTTTTTCTAGGCACATGCATGTACACTTCCATTTTCTTTGATCAACTATTAATCAACCAATCAGTGCAGATCTGCCAGTATTGAGTTTCCTATATGATTTTTTGTGATTACTTTAGCTGGGTTGTCCATTATTTTTCCTAGCTGGGCAATCAGGTAATTAATGTCACTAAAAGATGGTTGACCAGTGATCTTTCTTGTTGTCTCAGTGACTGGATGACCACTAATTTTGACTTGCACAACTACTTCCCCCAGTCCCATGTACTCAAGTCTAAATGTGTCGCACTGAATGAGCAACTGATCTATTGTATTTTAGTATAAATCTACTAGCATTCTATCACGAATGCCGTTCTCTGATTGGCTTCGCTACTCACTGTCTATCCTGTGATAGGTAGTGAGTAGCCTAGCAGTGTACCCTTGTTAACAAAATGATGGCTACTTCTATTGGCATTTTCAAAGTGTCTGTAAAGAAGATTTAAATAAAGTTTTGAACAACTAGATTTAGTAGACTTATACTAAAACAATTAGATTCTTTGCTCTTGATTTCTATGCATGATAGTTGACTCGGGCTGTGCCCCTGTTAACTATCATGCAATAGAAATCTCGAGCTCATAATCTAAATGTTTAATAAAGGGTACATGTAGTTCAGAGCCTGAGGCATTTATCCAACATTTAACACTGAGGCTTAGAGGCCTTCTTACTTGGACAACTGTTTGTGTTGCATGTTTGGGACTCAAAATTGTTTCCTTGGCATGAACGGCTGCTCCATTGTGGAGGAGGATTGGTACATGACCGCTGTCGTCTTTGAGATCCACCACCACATGTCACAGTGCACTTGTTCCAGGGCTCCCAGTCTGACCAACCACTATCAACTAAAATATTGATATTTTACAGATACTTACAAACACATTGAAGAAGATCTACAAGTAAGTGTTATAAAAATACGGTCCATTAGGTCACTAAAGGTGGCTGAACACAACTTTCACGCATGCTCTTACGCTTGTAAGCAGTGAAAAGTTTATTTGCTCAATATCTGCGCTTAAATGCTATTTTTCTTCATATTTGAAGTGTATTGTGTTTGTGTATTGTGCATTGACGGTTTTAGTCCTTAATTAGAAAGATATGTTAGAAAATGTAACAATTCAAAGAACCCAAAAATTCTCAGATGTTTCTTTGAACTCAGTTAAATGCAGCTCAAGTGTAGTAAGTAAAAAAATTGCGATTGAATGTGGAATAGCTTTCTCAGAACTACACCTACATGTAGTATTTCTCAAGAAAAGCTCGGTAGGAATTTTGCAAGAAAATATTTTAGGGAATAAGTAACTAGAGTATTGAAAAAAGAAACAAACTTCATTAAACAGAAGAAATTCTAGATATTCTGGGTATCCTTCAAAAAGTGATATTTAAAAATCTCTTTGTTAACCCTCTTTGTTAACCCATTGACTCCCAGAGCTTTTTGCCAAAAATGCATTGTTTGGACATTTTGGAGAGTTTCAGGCTGGATATGAGCCAAATTAGCTCCAATCTACTCAAAAAGGCATTTGCAACATGACAGCATGCCTTTCTTTCCACTAGTGTCTTGTTTTACGACATTTTTGCTTGGGCATGCACAGAAATCGAAATTTTGAGATCTATGTCTTAGGCTTTTTGATTTTTAAAATTTTTTTTTTTGCCTTTCCTTTTTCTCCTTTTCTTTCTGGTTTGCTGCAGTGATTGACCTTCTACTGGGCTTGCTTCCAGTTCAAAATATTCTGAGAAAGCATCATCGAGACGGGCAATTTTTACCATGGAGAAGCCACGTGTAGTCGCAGGAAATTTTGCTCTGAGTTTTTCACTCAACTTTTTGAGCATTTTCGTGCATATTTCTGGCTCCATTGAGCCGATCACTCTGATCTGGGTATCATTGGAAAGATCTTGCCCCCCTGCAGAAGTTGAGCATAGATGATGCCCTTTTTGGTCAGAGGTGATGATATCAGAAGTGGAACAAAGGCCAAGGCTCATCATGGGCGGTTACTGGCGGCACAGGAGTCAATGGGTTAAACTACGGTAAATTTCTGAAATTAACAAGCCTCGTTACTTTTAGAATTAGCAGCATTTGGGACTCATTTCTTTTAGGGTGGTTGTTTCTTTCGAGGGGTCGTTGCTTACAAGGAGCAAAAAATGTTATATACAGTCTGCAGGACTGAGCTCCTTATACCAAATAAAAGACAGAAATTGGTTAAAAAAAAAACTTAAATGAGACACAATTCTTCATTCCAGTTAAGACCTATGTTGCTGTCACATGGATGGACCCTTCATGTCTATACTGTGTTGTCAGTGGTCAGCAAGAATCGAAAGCTAGTCATACTGTAAACTGTTTCTACTTCATGCAATGCTTCGTTAGTTTGTTGTATTGATGTCTCAGGACATCATGGTCGAGTTTTCAACCTACAGTAAATTTGACAAAACATTCCTTTTAATACACTCCACTTGAGAATGATAGTTATGTTTGCTATGGTACGTTCCTGTTAGTTGATGAACATTCTTTACCCACTCTAGAACTTTTCCTGCAGATGTAATATAATGCTGACTGGTAACAACAGAGGTTGTAGAGCTGACTTTGTGGATGGCTAAACACCACTGGGTTATGAAATTGCCAAAATTCTCAACTTTTTGCATGTTGGTCTTTTCCAAGTGAACAATGTTGTCACAGGAGGACTGGAGAGTTGTATCTGAGAGAAATACACGGCCTTGTTTACTGGTACAGGTGATGGTCTTTTGAAGGGATACAAGCTTAAACTCTATAACCATGAGTCTGTGAAGCCTGTAGCCCGGCCTGTACACAGAATACTGTTTGGGTTATCCGAGAAGGTGGACCACATGGGTCTTCCGGATGGACCTCACCTTTGGTGGTTGTTCCTAAAGGTTATGGAGATGTAAGCGTGTGCATGGACATGCATCGTGCGAATGAAGCAATCATCTGTGCAAGACAACTGATTCCAACAGTGGAGCTTATACATGATTTGAACAGCTGTCTGCAGTACCATGTTCAGCAAAATTGATCTCAAGTGGGGTTTCCACTGGATTCTACTCAGCAGGCGCAGTCGAGACATCATTACTTTCATAACACACCATGGTCTTTATTTTTACAAGCAGCTGACGTTTGGTGCAATGTCGGCACCAGAGAAATACCAGCAAATTGTCAGAGATGTGTTGATGAGGAGTTACGCTGGAGTTGCAAACATTGTGGATGATCTACTTATTCATGGCAAGGGAAAAGAGGAACAAGACCAATGTCTTCTTGCAGTGTTGGATAAGCTGAGTGAGGTGGGGTTGACAGTAAACAAGTTTCAACTGTCAAGGCACATGCTATTTGGTCATGAACTGACCAGCGATGGCTTTAACCCAAGTGAGGAGAAGGTNCATGTTGGTCTTTTCCAAGTGAACAATGTTGTCACAGGAGGACTGGAGAGTTGTATCTGAGAGAAATACAAGGCCTTGTTTACTGGTACGGGTGATGGTCTTTTGAAGGGATACAAGCTTAAACTCTATAACCATGAGTCTGTGAAGCCTGTAGCCCAGCCTGTACACAGAATACTGTTTGGGTTATCTGAGAAGGTGGACCACATGGGTCTTCCGGATGGACCTCACCTTTGGTGGTTGTTCCTAAAGGTAATGGAGATGTAAGGATGTGCATGGACATGCATCGTGCGAATGAAGCAATCATCTGTGCAACACAACTGATTCCAACAGTGGAGCTTATACATGATTTAAACAGCAGAACCGTGTTCAGCAAAATTGATCTCAAGTGGGGTTTCCACTGGATTCTACTCAGCAAGTGCAGTCGAGACATCACTACTTTCATAACACACCATGGTCTTTATTTTTACAAGCAGCTGACGTTTGGTGCAATGTCGGCACCAAAGAAATACCAGCAAATTGTCAGAGATGTGTTGATGAGGAGTTGCGCTGGAGTTGCAAACATTGCGGATGATCTACTTATTCATGGCAAGGGCACAGAGGAACACGACTGATGTCTTCATGCAGTGTTGGATAAGCTGAGTGAGGTGGGATTGACAGTAAACAAGTTTTAACTGTCAAGGCACACGTTTTTTGGTCGTGAACTGACCAGCGACGGCTTTAACCCAAGTGAGGAGAAGGTTGCTGCCACAAGAAATGCATGACCTCCTAAGGATGCAAATCAGGTATGCTCTTTTATGGATCTAGNGTCCGTATAGTGAAAAACTGTGACCTCTGGCTTGAAAATGCTTGAAAATGCTGCCCAGCATTTTCAAGACCTCGGTCACAGTTTTTCACTATACGGACCTCCCAGCCGGCAAATAACATATAATTATTTATTGCTTAGAAGTTAAGAGAGTCTTAAAAGATTCAGATACTTTGTTTTGGACACTTAAGGCATTAATCCTTTGAAAACTTTGTTTTGTTGTGAGAAACATTAACTGAGACTTCCATAGTGTGTTAAGCGTTGGCATAAACTTTGAGTTCTTTTTCCTTTATTTTTGCCTGTAAAAAAAAAGAGGGAATTAAGTGTCGTAACTAATTCTACGTGCAAGGAATGTACAATAGCCAATCACATAAGATGTCCATTGCTCAGTAGTTATGTAAGCAAGGCATAATATATGCACGTTGTATGAAAATAACATGTAATGGAGTGTATTAAAGTATGGATTATATTATTCACTGTGACTCTAAAGCTGCCACAGAGTCTGCAGCATATTTGGGCAGTTTACTATTTTTGTAACAAATTTACAATTTGACAAGTTTTAATGTCACATACTCAGGGAAGTTTTGGCTGTGGATATGAACTTTTTGGTCTCTTTCATGGCAATTAAATTAAAGGAAGAAATAAATGCAACAGTGTGGTTTGGAAACAGAAGATGATATAAATTTTTTGAATCAAGCTAGGGGAAATGCCAAAAGATATACAGTCACAATAGCATTCTTGTATCACGTTAACAATGTTAGAATGCATGTGCATGACATGTCTTAGTTCTACCACAAGGAAAAGCACTCGACATGAGTGTGTGATTTTGTATGAAATGTACCGTCCACCTAATATGAATTTGACACTGATGTTAACTATACTGCACATGCATATATTGATAGCAAATATTGGTTTTGTTTCAATTTAAAGGAAAAAGTACCACAAGGAGAGCAGTACCTCTCTCTGCCCAGGGGCATGCTGTTCAAAGCCTGACCTGGCCCAGGATTAACAAGAATTTTGATTTCTGTCAGTTTTGTATTTTTTATAAGGTTTTCTATTTATATTGTTTGTCCTGAAGTCAGTTTTGAGCTTGAGTAATCTCAAACTACACAAANAGAAAATAAAGCAAGTTGACAAGATCTGTTGCTGAAGTGCTGCTCACTAGTATTATTTAAAAAAAAATTTTTTTTTTTTTAATTGTTTAAAAAAAATTGCATGTGCATGACATGTCTTGGTCCTACCACAAGGAAAAGCACTCGACATGAGTGTGTGATTCTGTATGAAATGTACCTTCCACCTAATATGAATTTGACACTGATGTTAACTATACTGCACGTGCATATATTGATAGTAAATATTGGTTTTGTTTCAATTTAAAGGGAAAAGTACCACAAGGAGAGCAGTACCTCTCTCTGCCCAGGGGCATGCTGTTCAAAGCCTGAGCTGGCCCAGGATTAACAAGAATTTTGATTTCTGTCAGTTTTGTATTTTTTATAAGGTTTTCTATTTATATTGTTTGTCCTGAAGTCAGTTTTGAGCTTGAGTAATCTCAAACTACACAAAACATAAGAATTAGTTTAAAACATGTTTATACGCCAAGAAATGTTGATACATTGTACTTCCGTTAACTTTGAATCTGGGGTTAGTATTAACCAGCTTTCCAACAACCAAGCCCAGGCGAATAAAATAATGCACGCTGGCAAATTTAATACTCCTAGTCACTCTATGCTGCAGAAACCAAGAAAAACTCTATGCTGATGGGCCACTTGGTTCGTATCATAAATAGACTTTACCTTTTCTTATTTTAATAAGTAACTGTAGCTTGGGAAAGGTGGCAGAGGAGCTCAATTATTGAGTGGGGATATTGGAAGCTCTGGGAATAGCCTGCAAGCAGTCGCACATTTGGATCACAGAAGTCATGCAAGTGGTGAAGCCTCAATAAGTTGGCAAGTTCAAGCAAGCTTGCAACATGAGATTACTCACTGAAACTAGTCCAGATAAAATTAAACCATTCTAAACTAAGAACGTCACCAACCTTGGCAAATAGATAACTCCATCGCTTCTGCAACATGGATTAAATCTTCGAATAAACGTGCAGTGTATACATATCTTTCATTTCCAGCCATCTCAAGCAACTCAGTTCTATCAGAATTCCATCCAACACCTATAGCAAATATGGTGGTTCCTGTAATTCTTAGAGCTTGTGATGGTCCCTCAACGTCATCATGTGCCTTTCCATCTGTAATGATAATACAAACATTGGGTACATCTTCCCTGTCTTGGTGTGGCGTATATATTTCATTCTTGACTCGTTCGAGAGCTTTTCCGGTGCTTGTTCCGCCAGAGGGATATTTAATGTCATCAATGGCTTTGAAGATCTCTTCATGGCTGAAGAAAGTACCCAAACCAAACACCTTTTTAACATACATTGACGAAGAGTAGATAACTGCAGCTACATGGGTTCTGTTAAAGTCTACACTAAATCCTTCAATCACCTTTTTCACAAAGGTCTTCATCATGCCAAAGTTTCCTGCTCCAGCCTGCCTAATACTTCCACTGCCATCAATCACAAATACCAAATCAAAGTCTTTGTCACATACTGTTGAGGTAAAATATAACAACCTGAGTTTGATGGCTATACAGTGTTACTCTCATTCTCAATTTCAATTGACACCATGCACTTAGGCACTTAACAACCATTCATAGCTACTGACTTAGCTTTATGCATCTAGACAGCTACCCAGGTCTAGATGCATAATTATGTGAAGCACTGACTGGCTGACTGTTCTATTGTATTATAAGGGGTACATCTA